ACTTTTGAAAACAAGTTTTGGTTCTTAAAATTAGATCTCTAAGTCTCTCACTGTTCTGAAGTTTCAGTGTTTAATTATAGATGAGTTATTCATAAAAGTAAAACAATTTCTTTTTCTTTTTTAAATGTAAGCGACAGTACCTTGTGGAATCTGTTGAAAGTGTTAATATTTACATGCTTTGGTGATAATTTTTTTCTGGAAAGTTTCATGTGCACAAGATTTCACTACCGCAAGTTAATACTAACAATAAAATCCTTCTCCTGTATGAAAAATTGAATGCTGTGGCATTTTTCGTAAGTGACCAGAGTGTGATGTAACTGCAGTTGAGGAAGAAGGTTCATCCTTCTTGATAACTAAGTCCTGCCTATCTACTGTGGTAGTGCTCTAGCTTGTTGGGGTTTTTTAGAATCGTAGGATCACAGAATCATTAAGGTTGGAAAAGACCTCTAAGATCATCTAGTCCAACCATCTACTCAACACTACCATGACCACTAAACCATAGAAAGTTTTGGGGTAGAAGAGACCCTTAAAGGTCACCTAGTCCAAACCCGTGCCATGGGCAGGGACATCTCCCGCTGGATCAGGTTGCTCAGAACCCCATCAAGCCAGACCTTGAATATTTCCAGGGATGGGGCTTCTACCACCTCTTTGGGCAACCCGTGCCAGTGTCTCACCACCCTCATTGTAAAAAAATTTCTTCCTTATATCTTATTTTTTTAAGCCTCTGTCTGCTCCTTCCCCATCTCTGCTAGTCCATAACCAGCCTCTCTGAGGTTGTATCTTGTCAAATTTAGACGAAGATCAAAGGAAAACTCTGCTGATCTTTGTGGGAGTAGACACTGCCTCCAAATAAAACACTGGAGCCGTTGTTTTTTATATTTTTTTCAAGGTTATAGACTTCTGGGTGGTGATGTAGAAGTTCTGCCAGCTCTTGGTGGTTATAAATGACAGAGATCTGGGCAGTTACTGTCTGGAGAGATGACTCTGTCTGGACGGTGACAAGAAAGAAGAATTAACATGAGTCTGGAAGAGGGAAAAATAGAATAGCTAGAGTAAAAATGTTCTGGAGAAAATGTAAACACAAAAAATGTGCTAACTAGACATTGTCTTTCTCCAGCACGCTTTTGGGAAATGCACACGACCAGGTTTAGAAGATTTCATGTTGTTATTAGTTTATTTTCAGGTCATTTATTTAAGTGTCATAAAGAACATTAGCTCGTGGTTAGGGACTACAATATCCACTATATCATTCCAATCATGTGGACAAGTTTATACTGCACATGATTTACAATGGCCTTTCCGCGGTTAAAATTGTTATATTCAGGTACTAGGTTTTATACGTGGTTATATTTAGTGGAATCCAAGTGGCTGAACGCGGGGATGTCTTCCAATCGAAGTCCAAAAAACTAATGCTTTTACACGAACACCGTGGGTTGCAGCAAGAGCTGTTTATGGCTCTTTGCCTATGTCCTTTATCATGTCTCCACTGTTGTTAGTAAAATATACAGAACTACTTTATGCCAAAACAATGGAAGTTAATGCAGATAACTTGTTCCAAAGTTAACCATCAAATAAATCTTCTCTCTTTTTTCTTTTTCTCTCGACTGTTAAGTGAAATGGCGTTCTAAAACTTCTAAAAATTGTCAAGATGATAAATACTGTGTGTGTAATACAAGTAAATACCACGGAATTGATTGCACACACATGTCTTAAATAAAGGATATTAAATAGTTTATTCCAGAGAGAGATCGGTGAAGTTTCACCTAATATTACCAGAAATTCTGCAGCAGTGGATCTGATTTATAAGGGCTAGAAACTAAGAAAACCTCTTCAGAAACAGAAATGGTGTGTTGAGTGGGTGATTGACCGGGAGATTAAAGACAAGCAGGGGGGTTGCAGCCTGCCTAGGTAGTCCGACCTCTCAGGCGTCGAGCGGTTCTTCTTAACGGCAACAGTTTTTTCAAAATCTATTGGTTAGATTTGGTTTGGCAAATCAGTCCTCTCAGTTCAGTCACTGCTTGGTGGTTTAGGGCAAGTCTCTATTTCTCCTTCGGCTTTTCCCATGTGTAAATGTATAGAAGTGTTCTCACAAGGATGTGCCTGTACTGCAGAGGAGCCACCACCAGTCACTTTTAGGACTGTAATTCAGCTTAGACTGTCAAAATGCCAATTTAACTGTTTAAGAGCATATATGGATGGAATTTATGCTCTTAGGCTCTGAGAATCCAAGGGTGACTAAGTCGCTGAGATGGGAACGGTTTAACTCGTTTAGGAACCTGTCTTGTTTGTCGCAGAGGTAACGGGTTTGGATGAGGCTGTTAAACATGATAGAACTTTTTTTCTGGTTGTGTCTACAGGGCGGCTCCAATGAGTGCCGGCGAGCTGTGGGAAAAGGTAGATCTCATGGGCGATTCGGTCGTTGGCTTGAAAATGCAGCTTAGTGTAGATAAACATGAAAATAACACGCCAAGAGATGGCAAGCCAACTCAAAGAATCCACATTACATGGAGCCGTTCTGGAGCGTAGTGACTTAGGAAAGGAGATTTAGGGGTTTGAAGAAAAATCCTCAAAGCAATTAGTCAAGAGTACAACCGTGGTAAAGCTCACATGGCACGTGCGTGTTCTTATTTTGGTGGTGATTTTGATGAAAAAGGGTCTGTTTGCATTTAAAGGTGCTCCGTTGCGGCCTGAAGTGGATGATTCTGGTGTTCAGGAATATTTGTTTTTGACAAAGAGGGATGGGAGCGGTTTGCTCACAGCCCAGAAATGAGCTGTGATGGAGTAAAACTGAAGAACTGTGGAGGAGATTGATAAAGTAGAGCAAGTGTTGGCTTTAGTAAACAGTTCAATAAACAAGCTAAAGCGCGTCAACATTCAGAAATTAAAAGGAAGCGGAAAGTGTAAATGTCTGTGATTATCTGGGAGAACCACAGTCACACTGAAAGGTGTGTACGTAAATAACATGGCTCAGCAGCAGAGTTCAGAGGGTTGTGATCGGCGGCACAGAGTCAAGTTGGAGGTCTGTGGCCAGTGGTGTTCCCCAGGGATCAGTGCTGGGTCCAATTTTGTTCAATATCTTCATCAATGACCTGGATGAGGAGACAGAGTGCACCCTCAGCAAGTTTGCTGATGATATGAAGCCGGGAGGGGTGGCTGACACCCAGGAAGGCTGTGCTGCCATCCAACAAGATCTGGACAGGCTGGAGAGCTGGGCAAAGGGGAACCTCATGAAGCTCAGTAAGTGTAGAGTCCTGTATCTGGGGAGGAATAACACCAGGCACCAGGACAGATTAGTGGACGTCCTACCAGAAGGAAGCCCCGTGGAGAAAGTCCTTGGAGTCCTCGTGGGCAGTGAGTTGTCCCTGGGACAGCAACATGCCCTTGTGGGATCCTGGGGGGCATTAAGAAAAGTGTGTCCAGCAGGGCTAGGGAGGTTCTCCTGCCCCTCTGCTCTGCCCTGGGGAGACCACACCTGGAATAATGTGTCCAGTTTTAGGCTCCCCAATTCAAGAGAGACAGGGACCTACTGGAGAGAGTCCAGCGGAGAGCTACGAGGGTGATCAAGGGACTAAACATCTCTCCCATGAAGAGAAACTGAGAACTGGGGCTGTTTAGCCTTGAAAGGAGACGGCTGAGAGGGGACCTTATTAATGTCCATAAATATCTGAGGGTTGGGAGTCAAGAGAAAGGTGCCAGACTCTTTACGGTGGTGCCCAGCACTAGAACAAGGAATAACGGGTTTAAGTTAGAACGTAGGAAGTTCCACCTCAACATGAGGAGAAACTTCTTGGCTGTGCGGGTGCCGGAGCCCTGGCCCTGGCTGCCCAGAGAGGGTGTGGAGTCTCCTGCTCTAGAGACTTTCAAACCCACCTGGATGCGTTCCTGTGTGGCTGCCCTGGGTGACCCTGCTCTGGCAGGGGGTTGGACTAGAAGATCTCTAGAGGTCCTTTCCAACCCCCAACATTCTGTGATTCTGTGTGAGTAAATTAACTTGGGGTACAGACAGGCATTTCAAGTGAGGATCCCAAGGTGGCTGGGCAGGTAGTCCTCTCTGGGTTAATTTGGAAGAGCCATGTTTGAATGAAGGAGCTTCACTCGAGTGTTTCCTGAGCGAGGACCATAATTCATCACTACTTTAAATCAAGTATTAGAATTAGATCTGCATACAATATTACATTTCATATATTACAGAAATGAGTTAATTGGTCTCAAATGCATCATGCTGTTGGGAAGGATTTTCTGCAGCATGGACCTCAGATGTTACAGCCTGCGCTGCCTGATACTGTCTGTGGTACCTCAGGAAGGTCATGAGCAGCTCTGCCTCACTTTTCCCGTCTTAGTGGTCATTACTCACACCTGTGAAAAAAACATGGGAGTGATTGCTTTTATCTTATGAATGCATACACAATTCACTCCTTTTCTTCTAGGTATGTTTGGGGATTTTTTTTTCCCCTTAATATGTGATTTTATTTTTTTTTCAGTTGGTCATTGTAGAAATCGGGCAAGAATACTTGAGTAAGAATACCCACCCCATCGTGGTAGACATTTGACCCATGTTGTTAAACACAGACTAGACTCACTGCTGCATTGAGCATTTGCTGCCAATCTTAGCTGTAGTCCTGGGAAAAAATGTGAACACTTTTGTGGCAGAATTGCCTTTTTGCTTCCCAAATGTGTTTGCTTTATTTTATTTTAGCAGGCAAATAGTTTTGTTCTTGCTGTTGATGCACATGCCATCGTGTTAGCAGTGAGGTGGTTCAGTGGAAACCTTTGGCCTCTCAGCCAGTGAAGCTTTTATTTTATTTTGCAGGTACCATATTCACTAAAATATATGCAAGTTGCATCACTTACTGAAGGCTGGCAGAGTTGTTGGGTTGGATGTAAAATATCAACCACATTTTGTCTTCTCACTTGCTATTAATTAATTAACAGTTACAAGGTGAAACTGAAATCTAGCAGAAATGCAGCATAGATTTTTTTTTTCTTCTTTTTCCTAACAGATTCATGCCAGAACATAAGCTTGCCGATTTAGAGAAGGTAGTTGGTGTTAGAAGAAATGGAGATGCTTGTCAACTGGAGGCTCTGCCTGGCCAGCAGAAGAGCAGCGCTATAATGAAAAGCAGCAACGTGCATTGCAAGTCTGGACTTTGTGAAGCCCAGCCTGGACTTTGTACCACCCAGCACGAGGGGCTGCCATCCCCAATAACAGCACCAGCAAGCTCGAGTGAGTCTGAAGCGTCAGAAAGTACAAATCCACGTCAAGAAGAAGAAGAAGATACGCGACATCTGACTTTTAACCTCTCTAATATCTTGAGTGGCTGGGACTATCAGCAAAGACCTTTACACATCGCCTGGCCTCACAGGTG